TTCTGCAATGACCTTTTGATGGATCCCAGTCTCCGAGTTGAACGCCGAGTCTCTCCATGAAGAGGACTCCTCACGGAGGCTTTTCCATTTGGAAGTTTCGCCGTCCTTGCGATGAGTGATTTCGTTGCGGAAGTCGTAGTAGTCAATGGAGTGCGTCGTCGAATCACGAGATGTTCGCCGAGAAATCATGAAATCGCGGACTGCTTGACTTGGTCTATTTGGTCGACTGACTGCTCGTCGACGGCGCGAGCACCGGGGCCACTCTAGCTGGATCTAGTACCACGTGACGTTGCCCTGATAGATCGGAATGAAACAATACAGTGGAACAAATACCGAAGCAATACCAACAACAACGGCCCACTTTGAATGCGATATCAAACGATATCTTCATTTTCTCTTTCTCGTTGCCGATAGACAACACTGTCACCAATCCGTCGGTCGGTCACTTTCCACGTCGCCGTCGTCGTCGGCAACGTCGTCATCGGTCGCATCATCTCTATCACGTTGCGGTGGACAATGAGAAAGCGAATGAATATGTTCGCGAGAACAAACGCGATCGAGATAAAAAAGAATGCAGCCAAAGAAAACAAGCCATAAAGCGAGATATTATTAGCGTGCCGCGCCAAATATGTATCATTAGGAGCCTGGGAGAGGAAATATTTTCCTTGGATAATATGATCCGCTACCACCGCATGTCGTGCCTTCCGGAGCCGGACGATGATCTGCGAAAAGTTTTTCTCAGCGTGTACGCGTGTCTCGTTCAGACCATGTGCTCGGAATTCGATGCGTTCCGGCGATACGTTCGATGCTTTTCACGGACATGTTCGCGGTTCTCCCGACCCAAAGATACGTCCGTCCAAAGTCGACCCACTGAAATAACCTTCCAGAAGAAGAATGTATGATGACGCGCACCGTACTCTGGATATTCTATTCCGCGTTTCGGCTCTTTGCGTGGAGCTGTTCGCGTTTCGTCCTAAGAGAAGTGGTGGCGGACGGCAGAAACGAGTCAGTCAACGTCCGGAATTCAACAAATGAAAAGCGGACTGAAGCTGAAGCACCGACCGGACGCCGACCAGCAGTCGTCAGAATGCATATCATCCGCATGTTCGTCTCCGGGCGGCGGAAAACCTGAGACACAGTCATACATATGTATGTATACGATATACGATGATACGCAATAGTACTGTTTCGTCCCGGAAGAGCCTCGTAGGAGCTAATTGGCTGACTCGGAGGAACACAATGATCCCCTGCATTGAGTGAAAGTTGGCTCTGAGGAGGAAAAACCTCACCCGTCCTCTCAGACGTGGGCTCATTCTGCATGCCCCCTTTGTTGAGGCATCCAGAGATTCGGAACAATCAACCGAAAGTTTCCGCGGAGAAATCATTGGAAAGATAACCAGATTTCCCAGGGCAGCACTAGTCACACGAAACAATGGGCGCGAATAGTTAGCGGACGTGGATGGCATCCTTTTCGCGAGCGTAACAGGAAATCGTCTCGTCAAGTCCACTCCTGTCTTAATCCTCTCGGAAGCCTGGCTCTTGCACGAGTCGAGAGAATCGCTTTAGCATTCGCTGGTGTATCTAGAGGTGGACCGATGGAGCAAAATAGGTAACTATTCGATCCCGAATATTTGCGATCAGCAAAACGCATGATCTCCACTAAGATATTGAAGAGAGAGCGCTCTTCCGATGAGCAGAAAATCAATCCCACTTAAGGAGTCTCGGCAGCGCGAAAAATTAGACTATCTGTCGATTCTCGGATCGTTCCAAGACGGGATAAGTCGTCGTCCTGATACAAGACGAGTGTGAGCTGCCGCCTCTCGTATGAGTTTCGTCCGGAGTGCGTTTGGCGGTTCGAAGCGCTCTACGCGCAAAATTCTTCGCTTGCCGATAATGCTAGCGTCAGCAGCTCTACGAGCGACAGTTGCGGTCAACAAGCGCCGAAGTGCGCATCTAACGACGCAGACAAACATAAGACGACGCAATTACGCGAAACACGACCGGTAAAGTACTCGCTTATTGTTTAGCCCTCTTGTCTAATGAGTGCGAGTCGGCATTCCGTGGTCGGACAGATTTTACTCCCGGCTGAAAATTATGTGAGCACTTGGTAGCAACCGCGGCAGTAATCGAGTATTACGTCTTGTTAGAAAAATCTCATGGCAGCGCAATCTTCGGAGGCTTCATCAAGATTCTGTGCTTAGCCAGATGTTTTTTGAATTCGCGAATTCAGACTCCACAGGGCGGCCGAGGATCAGTCATGGAGAATTGAGAGGAAAAGATTGAAGTACCATTCGTGCCTTAACTTACTGACCTTCATCTGACCTACATCGAGGAACAGAATGCGATGAAAGTTCAATCGCAAAGTAGCGTCTTCGCGGTCAAATGAATGGGTGGTTTAGTCGGCGGGCCAGTCAGTCAGTCAGTCGATGTTCTGCCCGACCGGCTAGACGGTCGTATCGATTGATGATTTTATGAACAATGTCAATGTAAGAGCCGTGGAGAAACAGCAATGATTGGAACAAAGGACCACCGTGGCGCATGTCAAGGAGGATGGATTCTTCTGAAGCTGCCGATTCCGCAAAGTGAAAAACTTGTGCGCGTCTTTCCGTTCATCCATCCATCGGTTGGTCGGCTGCCTGCCGACACTCGGTCACCCGAATTCCGAGGAGATTCGTCACTGGCTCGAAGAAACAAGCTTGGGAGAGGTCGTGCAAAGCCTCCTGGCATTCCTCATCTTATTCCTCCTAGAATCCGTACATTGACCGTCGTAGAGGCCCAGATAGCTGGGAGTGGAATCGGCATTTCTATGAATTAAAACGAAAACTAGATCTCCCGGGCTGACTGACCGAATCGGTCCGCTGCCATCTGAGCCACTGCTGCAACGGCAGCAGATTTGAACCCGGTGCAAACGAACGATGTGTAAAAATAAACACCATCGAACGGAAGACGTTCAAGCGGACGGGTAGGAAGAAAACGAGAAGGATCGCACAGAAAGATAGGGAATGAAAGGACGACGTCAAAAGCAGAAGAAGAAGAAGAATCGAAAGAGAACAAGACGGCAAGTCCGCCGCCAGCGGAGCCGTTTCTGCCGTCGACGCCGCAGAAATGCAGCTCGAGCGCCCGAAGCAGCCCCATACGAGCCGAAACCTTCGGAAGCTACCAATAGATACAAACAAGTTCCGTTGGTGTTTCCCGAACTATCAAGGGTCACCAGCTCGGCCCGAAGCGCGGGGGGTCAGTGACGACGAGACTTGCCACGCTTATGAGTTATTCGCGCCGATTGTCGGCAGAGGAGCTTTTGCCTTAACGTAGCACGTCTGCCGCTAGCGGGCGAAGAGCAGAATAGCTTGTAACGGTACCGTTGTTTGAACAGCAACCGAAAAGCGCCTGCTTCCTGTCTTGTGCTTCCATTCGTTCGTTCCCATTCATGCTGATCATTAGTTCCTTTCACTGACTGAGTCGTCCGTCGTTGAGCTGTCCCTCTCGTTTGTTCCCCGCTCAGAGGATCCAGACGCAGTGTCCCGACACTCCAGCTCGTCCCCCTTCACAGGCAGCCCAGAAAGTCGGCACGAATACGATAGTCACCGATATTCCTGGAGATCCAGTTGCGTAAATAAGCGCAACATTTTTGAATTTACAGAAGAAAATCTCGTCGAGCAAGGAAAGAAGCTTACTGTGAGCGTCAGAAATCATTTATTCGCCAGCGGACGGCGAGCAAAACACAACACACTTGGAATATTCCCAACCTGAATGCTTTGCTGAGAATCGCCAGTGGAATTCCACGAGAAAAATTAGCGAATCACGACCTTGAGCGTTCAAGCACCGCTGCCGAATGATGCCAATTATTATGAATGCCAATAATTCAATACAAGGATTCATCTTCTCCCATGCCTAAACAAAATTAGAAATCAGAAGCTTCTTGCCGATAATCCATTTTCTCGTTTGCTCGCTACAAGGGTCGAAAAACAAGACCGGTTCACCTTGGTCTTTACGAAAACTTGTGAAAGTTCTCATCGATCCCGGTATTGGCAAATCCGCCGGAACAGACTTTTACGTTGACCGAAATATCAACATTTCCACTCTGTAGAGCAGATTGGAACTCGAGGCCTGGAGACGAGACTCGTAGTGCGAGTCGACTGACCCATAAGTTCGCGCTGCGCCGTGAGATCTCTAAAAGTGGGTTTGCAAGCTGTCATCGGCCCGGATTCCGCCTCATCAACTTTAGCGCAACATTCGGGAAATTCTGACTTTTTTTACAAAGCCACAATCGCATACTTTCGGACGATGCTCGGAAATTCTCGAATTTGTTCATGTTGTGCTTCAATCGGGCCATGCGGACAGCGGGGCGATTGCAAAAAATACTGAAGGGTAACTCTGGACGAGTCCAGTTCGCGCAATGCAACTTTTTCCCTTTTGAGCATTTTATTTTCATCAATTTTTTCCTAGCGGTCCCGCCGTTGTCGACGGAAGGTGAATGCAGTTCCCATATTTTTGCTACCCTGTCGAAGATCCATAGATCCAACAGACCGTCCTTTTTTTCCACCGCTGGGAACCACCGCCTGGGCCGCAGCTCAAGCGAGCTCTGTGGTGAAATATGTCTCTGATAACGTCGATGTTGTTGTTGGCGTCGTCGCCAAGCTCGGCAGCACCAGCAGCAGCAGCAGAACCAGCAGCAGCCGCAGAATTCCCGATGAAACACCAGCCCGGACGAAGATTTCAAAACGAAACCCGATAATCTTGGATCAATACAGGTCGCATGGCTGAGAGGATGACAGCATTTCGACGCCGAAGTCTTCTCTTACATGAGCACTTCACCCACGGTTCCTCAGCGAGCGTAGATTCTTGGCCCACCGAAAATCAGTAGTCGGACCTGACTTCTTTTGCTCACAGCCGATTGAACTTTCGCAACGAGCGATATTCAATCGCTTGACGACATGCCCCTCGGGATACCCCGCATCCCGTCGGTACCGTTGAGCCCAGAAACCCGGATATGGACGTACCTTTGTTATCAAAAAACCTCCTGGCTGTTTTGCCTGCAAGGAAAGAAAATAATTTTGAGGATTACTTTGAAAGTGTCCCATCTACATCACAAATTATGTATCGCTCATGTTCTATTTCGCATGAATTAGTCGTATCTCATCATCCCTATGCTTCGAAATGGTAGCGAAGCACCGAGAAAGTTGAAGTTCTCGCATATCTCGTTGAGTTGTGGAAATTTTATCCACTGCCGTATCACTTCGCGGAAGAAAAAATTTCCAGGAAACGTCCGGCGATGATGGGACGTAAGTTGTACAGTACAAAAGAAAAGCGACGATTCGTCATCAAGTCGTCAGGAATTGTCTATGATTCCGTCAGCCGGTGTATCTACTACCGGGGATGATGTCACTGACGACTTCAACTTGAGGACAGCTCGTTATTCTCCGATAGCAAACTCGCTAAACTACCCGAAGCATCGGCCGGTCGAGTGAGCTACCACACGCGAAATTCACAGACCGACAGACCGACGGATGAAGGCACGGGCTTTTGTCTGTCCGCTCAGGTACGATGAATGTGAATGAGAGCCTTGCGTGTGCATTTGCACGATTGCGCCCAGCCGACACGAACGAATCCCTCACACCGAGCAGAGATCCGCCTCGGCTTGTCACATATCCTGTGGGTTTCCGAGCTGCGCCTCGCCGTCGATGATGACAAGGAGTGCGGCTGTCGCGATTAGTGCAGTGAAAGCCTCTCACTACTTAGGGGCACAGCCGTGATCACGACAAACGAAATCAAGAACACTTTCGAAAGCATTCGCTATCTTCGCTTCTCTCGGATTAGTTACGCTTGATCTTGACAGAGGCGACCGGTTCTGCTTTTCCGTGGAGGAGCCGAGAGCATGGTCGCACATTCCGTGTTCGCGTTTCGTCCGTCGAATCGGTTTCCTCGCTTTCATCATATAATAAGGGTTCCTTTTTCCAGATTCGATTTCTACTTTCGAACGTTCACCGAACATCACAGCTGCTCATCACCGATCGGATGTGTTCTTATCTCGGGTACGCAAAAGGAATCGAAGCGTCTCCTTGAGAAGAAACGCGGATTGCTTTTGTCCTGACTCCGCGTTCTTTTAACGCGTGTTATAGAAAATGAAGGAAAGGATCTCGGCAGCTCTCGAAGCTGGTTCTGGTGATGCAGCAGCCAAGCACGCCCAAAGGACGACGACGGTATCGGCGATGATGGCAGCAATGACGCCGAAAACTTTGACAGATCTAGACCAACATTGCCGTCGCGTAAAACTCTAGATAGCAATTACAGATAACGCACGACAGCGGGTCGAGCGATTTGGCGAGCCAGCGAGCAGCCAATAAAGTAAAGACGCAGCAAATAAGCTTGAAGGCCGAAACGCAAGCTGGCCAGCTGCGTTCAGTGAATTCATCACTCAGCACCGATAGCGGGTCGGTAGGACGACACTCGCACTGAGGTTTCGACACAAAATCACGCCGTCAGCGGAACTTCGGGACCGAATGCGCGAAGCGATTGTCGATGCTTCCTGAGTTGTCAAGTTGGCCAATTTGAAATAATACTCGTTTTAATAAACAGATAGAAATATTCATGAAACCATCGTTATGGCAATGAGAAAGAGGAACTTGCGGCAACAGACTCAGCGACGGAATCGCGTCGCTTAGAAAGACAAACAATAAAAAAAATCCAAGATCACGCAGGACAGAGATGGCGGCTCCACACACATTCGTCCGCGGGCCCGTTCGTTTTTAGTTAAGTTTGTTCCCGGAAAGAAAGTTCAGAAGAAACTTGGGTGAAACAAGCAATTTGAAACGAAGCTAGCGGAGCGTTTACACTTTTCCAAAAGCTCGCACTTCAGACAGGGGTGTCCGTTGTTTCCGGAAACGACTGTTTGTAGTGGGGCCCAGACCGGGATTCTGGCTTGATTCGCGATTCTGACTGCGTGATTTCTTTCTTTCGGGGGAAATCGTAGGATGAGAATGGCGCAGAATCCATTTTTTTTCTGCCACTCGATACCAAAAGGATTCCTACTCGGGACGAGCTCGTTGCTCATCCGGGACGCGGCAGTTGGCACCGGTCGTCGTCGTCGACGATCGCGTGCAAATAAATGTGCGCGCATCTGAACATTCGTAGGAAATCCTCAGGGACCGTTATTTCGACGCAGCGATTTCTCTAACGAAACCAAGCGAGAGTCGAGCGAGCCAGCCAGCCAGCCTGAAGGCAGTATTTGCTTGACTTGTCAAGATCGAGCAGAAGATGCGGATGAGAGCAGCTCAAAAGTTTTAAAGAAAGACGAGAAGGAAGCCAAATAGTTCGGTTGGCGGAATTCGGGAGAAAAACCGCAGTGGCGTCGAAGTCGTTTAAGATGTCGATGATGATGAAAACGACGTCGAAGACTACGGGATGGAAAGCCAGACCCTGAGCGATTTCAGTAGAAGCAGGCATCAGTCGCCGCTGATCGTCGCCGAAGTCGATGAGCGAGGAGAATCTTCTTTGGCAATTATTTTGCGCGAACCCGGAGCGACGTCGAAACTGTCACCCACTTTTCAGTGACTCGCTGGGACCTACGAGCAGAAGTCGGATGAAAATCCCATTTTGTCGAGAAGATGCCAAGATGCCTCGTTTGAACAGCTTCTATGCAAATCGTCCAAACGTCGATTTCTCTCATGAGCCGCATTGCGGAGTCCTGTCACCTCTCATGATCGACAATCTTTCAAAATCTTGTTCCTGGAGGATTTTGAAAGGTCTACCTTTTTTTCGCTCTTCCAAATGGGAAATTCCTCCGAGGCCGATTCCGGGGTTGTCTTCGGCTGCGGAAACCGAATCCACGAGCGTCTATCTACGATGGTACGTACGACGTTTCTGAAGCCAGAGGATTACCGAAGTAGACTGGACAATGAATGGCGCGAAAGTCGACGTGAATAAACGTGGTAATTCCGCTATCTCTTTCGTAAGGAAGGTTGTTTTGCTCGGCTTCTGCTTCCCACAAAGTACACCGCTTTGTCTCATGCCTGGATAGCTTCTTGGTTTTCTCCGCTCCAAAGTGAGTGTTTATTTCCTGCAGTCACACGCTTCTTATCCCAGTCGATATCGTTCGTGGAAACGAATTTATATTCGTCGATAATAATCGGATACCCGGGGGTTTCGGATAGAAGTCACTTCGGCTTGCACGGTCTGAACATTCATTCCATACGAAGATTATCGTTTACTATTCTGTCAACATCGGTTGATGGATTCGCTGGGGAAAACGCTGGAAGAGACAATACAGCGGGGCTCTCCGAGCTCAGCTGTATAAATTGACTCTTCTCCCGGTTTCTCATCGGAAGTAATTCGCCAAAACGATGTCGAGGATTCCTACTATGTATATACATCCGAATTCACAGAATCGAAGCTTCGCCTTTCGTGATTGAGATGAGGCGCCAAGGCAGCGATATCCAACAAGGTTCGGGTAGCAGCAAGATGAAGCGAAGCGACCCGGAGCAGACCGAAGACCGCTCAATCTTCAGCTGAGTAAACCCGATTTCGGAGCTCCTCGGTTCCGAGTAGAGCCCGGATACTTTGGAGCAAGACCGAGAACGAATCGTAGCAACTTATCTACTTCGAGTACTTATCCTTCATATTTTGTCGAACGGAACGTCGAGGAGCACGCCCGAAGTCATCAACGGCTACAGCGTCACCTTTCAAACTCACAGCTCGCGAACGGCATGCATCAGCTCGTAAATTTCCGGACGCCTCGCTCCGGATCCAGCGGTTTCATCGCTTGCATGGCCGGAATGTCTCCGCTGGTCGGCGCCTCGGTGAATGTAACCGAAAAACGATCAGACCGTCCAACCGACCATGCGGCTAACCAGCTACCCGGTCAATCAAAGCGGAACCTTGGCGGCTTCTGCGCCGGGAAAAGAAAGAGAACCAACGCAAGATCGCGCGCAATGTTCGCCGTCCGTACTTCTGGGATTCCCTTCTTTTGATTCCGTATTTGATTTACAAGTAGACGTCAGCGACAGCGGAACGGAGAAAACAAAATACACGATCCGGAAATTGTGGTCACGTCCTTCTTTGACGTGCCATTCGTTCAGAAAGCGCTGCGGCTGCCGGCTGTTTTCGTTGTAGTCGTCGTTGTCGTCGACAGAGCATCGACGACGATAATCCGAATTTAGTCGGTCAGACGAGAGAAGTGTCGCAAAGGCAAAAACGGTAAACGTTCAGCTCGCTTCGATAATAATCTTCTTCGCCGTTTTAACGAAGTCGAAAACGGAAGACGTCGGATATGGGATGAACTTGACTGCGTTCTAAGCCGGTCTCATGATGGGAAGATTTCGTCAAGACCGGAGTCGAGGACGCAAGGTCCACCATGCCTTTTGCAGTAATAGAATCTAAGAGTCGCTTCAAATCTGAAGCGTTTTTGGACAGGAATGAGAATCCGTGCCGTGGAATCGGTATTGAGGCAGCGATATGCGCGTATGCGATTCCAACGGATCGACCGACGAGATCCGGGATCTGCATAACCCGAATTCCGGCTCCAGGGCTGTCCGTGAATCATCCGAAAGCGTTACTCTGCGACGCGCAGGGGTCACCGAAGGCGATGGCGGCGCCGAGCTATGCACGCATCGCGAATGATTTTCGTGTTCCCAACCCGGTGCAATGAGATGAATTTCTCTAGCGTTTCCTATCAAGCATAACGCGGGGAGTAAAACCAGAGCCGTACATCAGATTCCCTCTGTCTTTCTTTGTTCTCTCGGAGTATTGCCCGTCATGCGTTCTTGCTGGAATTGGAAGGACTTTGAACGCAAAACGATCATTATTGAACAGCTGTACCGCACGACTATCATTGTCGAATACTACTACTACGTGTTCCACCGAGAAACTTATCTTGACGGTCATCATACAACCTGCAAAGCATTCAAGCCATTTGTAAGCGAAGAAAGGAACGAGGAGGATGGGGAGGAACGCACAGAAATCGTTTTCATTTATCTATCTAAATCGTTTCTGCGAGAGAAACGAAGTCGAGGGTATTCGAGAGATAAGGGCGAACCTC